ACATTTTCCCCTTAAAAGAGGAAGATTAAAGATCTTCTCTCTCTACACTCTTCTAACAAATACTTAAAACATTTTGATCAGATCAGATCACACACAAGTATATTTATGTAAGTCTTTCTTTTGGTTTATGCTTTTGGATGTTTGTGTATAATTTGATGTTTGCACCCAATGAAAAAAAATGTATAATTTGATGAATATTCATATTTTGTTCTTTCTCCTATGGATGCAAAATGATGTTAGTAATTAGGACGATATTTTTTGGTTACGTGGTCCACTCTGATTCTTCAATCTCTCTGCTTGGTCCTTGTCATTAGTGATTTTGGATCAACCTGATGAGCTTTATTTGTTTGTGATTTCTCTTATTGAAAATTTTAGATTTTTTTTTTCCAACTTTCGTGGATCATTAACTAGGAATCGTTCTCTTGAAACGTAATTTTTTTTGTTGGAATTTTGTTGGAAATTATCTCCCACTTCCTAGAAAACGACTATTTTGTTTGTTTTAGTGCATGATTTTTTTATAAGCAATTTTTTTTTTTGAGTGCTTACAAAATAAAAGGAAATTTTAGTTTGAATAATTTGTGCGTCCATAATTAAAGACAACAACGTCTCGTTGTCTTACTCTCAGTTATTTGTAGCTTCGTGTTCAGATTCAGACGTCACAAGTCAAACCTTTGTGAGTAAACTAGAGTAAAGACACAAAATAGTAGTTGAAAATTCATATAAATAAATGGACCTCCATTTTCTCGTTTACTTTTAAACAAATTGGTAACACGTCGGTGTAAAGAAACCAAAACAATAGGAATCAACTATTTGAATTATGAATTACATAAAGTTATAACAAATTTGTTGAAATTGTTAATAAGGAAACATATATAAATATATATTGAAATTTTGTTAGTGAGTGGACTGGAAGAAAATTGGAGTTGACTTTTATTATCACTTCTGTTTTTCTTCTTCTCATAGTTAATAATGTTTTGTTTCTTTTAAAATAAGTAAACATCATATATACAAAATATGAATCGTTAAAAGTTACTCCACTTCATAACTTTTGTATAAAAGAGTATATATATAGTATACACATGTAAATTACTTATACTGGCTTTGAAATTGCCTGTTAGCTTACTTCAAGTGGTCAAACATACTTTATCGGTTGTAATTGTGAGATCAACGAATTGAGGAAAACAATATTCTTGTACTATATTAATGGTACATGATCATTTCAAGTGGAGTTTAAATGTTTAATTCTACTAAACTTTAAAATTGCCTAACTTAGCTCCAAGTTAGGTATACTGCCTAATTGTTTGTACAAAATCTTTCTTATTTTTGTAATTAAAATACCAAATTAATTACATTTAATTTGTAAAGGTTGAATCAGGACTTAAAATGGTAAATTACAACACTATATTTGTCAAGTTGAATCGATACAAAACAATAAAATCCAAATACAGAGCGTTTTCATTGTAAGTGAGAGACCCCACAAATTTAGTTCTGAACTTCTGATAGGATTCATGGGTCGATCTTATAACTCTCAAAACTGTAACTAATATTGAGGTTTTTTGTTTGTTTATGAATTTACAGAGGAGGAGAAGAAGAATGGCAAGGGATCAATTACAAGTGTTGAATGCACTTGATGTAGCAAAGACGCAATGGTACCATTTCACGGCGATTGTAATAGCCGGAATGGGATTTTTCACTGATGCTTACGATCTCTTTTGCATCTCTCTCGTCACGAAGCTCCTTGGCCGCATTTACTACCACGTGCCAGGCTCCCAGAAGCCTGGAACTCTCCCTCCCAATGTGGCTGCAGCCGTCAACGGTGTTGCCTTCTGTGGCACGCTTGCCGGTCAGCTCTTTTTCGGATGGCTCGGGGACAAGCTCGGGAGGAAGAAAGTTTACGGTATGACATTGATGGTCATGGTCCTTTGCTCCATAGCCTCCGGTCTCTCTTTCGGTCACGAACCCAAAGCCGTGATGGCCACGCTCTGCTTTTTTAGGTTTTGGCTAGGGTTCGGGATTGGTGGGGACTATCCTTTATCCGCAACGATCATGTCCGAATACGCTAATAAGAAGACTCGCGGCGCGTTTATTGCTGCGGTTTTTGCTATGCAAGGGTTTGGGATCATGGCTGGTGGAATTTTCGCTATTATTATTTCCTCTGCTTTTGAAGCAAAGTTCCCTGCCCCTGCCTATGCGGAAGATGCCTTGGGATCTACGGTTCCTCAAGCGGATTTGGTGTGGCGGATAATCTTGATGGTCGGTGCTATCCCTGCGGCAATGACTTATTACTCGAGGTCGAAGATGCCGGAAACCGCAAGATACACAGCATTGGTTGCTAAAGACGCAAAGCAGGCGGCTTCGGATATGTCTAGGGTTCTTCAAATGGAGATAGAACCAGAACAACAAAAAGTGGAAGAGAACTCAAAGGATAAGTCCAAAGCCTTTGCCTTGTTTTCCAAAGAATTCATGAAACGCCATGGGCTACATTTGCTCGGCACTACATCCACCTGGTTCCTTCTCGACATCGCGTTCTACAGTCAAAACCTTTTCCAGAAAGATATTTTCAGCGCGATCGGATGGATTCCTCCAGCACAAACCATGAACGCAGTTCAAGAAGTTTTCAAGATTGCACGCGCGCAAACCCTCATCGCCTTGTGTAGCACGGTACCTGGTTACTGGTTCACAGTTGCGTTCATCGACGTTATTGGAAGATTCGCTATCCAGTTGATGGGATTCTTCTTCATGACGGTCTTTATGTTTGCTCTGGCTATTCCTTACAACCACTGGACTCACAAGGAGAATAGAATCGGATTCGTTATCATGTACTCCTTAACATTCTTCTTCGCAAACTTTGGACCCAATGCTACAACCTTCGTTGTACCGGCCGAAATCTTCCCTGCCAGGTTCAGATCCACCTGCCATGGTATTTCTGCAGCATCAGGCAAGTTAGGAGCAATGGTTGGTGCGTTCGGGTTCTTGTACTTGGCCCAGAGTCCAGACAAGGCCAAGACTGACGCAGGATACCCTACAGGGATTGGGGTCAGGAACTCGCTTATGGTTTTGGGTGTGGTTAACTTTTTGGGTATACTTTTCACTTTCTTGGTGCCCGAATCTAAAGGGAAGTCGCTTGAGGAAATGTCCGGTGAAAATGAGGACACTGAGAGCAGCAACAACGATAGTAGAACGGTCCCAATTGTTTAAGTGATATCACAATCGGCTTTTGTTATAGTTTACTTCTCTTGTCTCCTTTTCTTGTCTCTAGCAACACAGGTTGTTCTTTGTATGATCTAAATGTCTATTTGCTACAGAAATCAAAATTTTCACGAATCGATTTCAAATTTGTTAATGACTAAGCTAAATTGGTATATATATATATGGAAGAGTTATTAGAATTCAAGAACCCACCCGGTATGCTAACAATTACTATAATTTCTATGGAGAGAATTTTCTTATATTTGGCCAATAACATGTTCGTAGATGAGATTATATATATATATAAATTGTCAACATCTGCAACACTTAATACAAATCAATATGATACAAGTATTTTGTAAATTTGAAAGACAAAAAATGTAGTTCTGAGACAAAAAAAAGAATACTGACGATAAAATATCTATAAATTGTAATTTACACAAATCTATAAAGAATGCTGGCAAAAAATCTCATTCTCTCAAATCGGTTCATTCATCACATTGATAAGCAAAGTCTCCTTTCTTCGGTCAAGACTATGAAGGAGTGAATACGACGAAGACCTCATGTAGTCATGTTCGAAGTTTGTAGTCGTCGAAAGACTAAACTCACACGA